GATCACACGAAGACAAAGACCATGGATTGGCACCATCAGCGACTAGTAACAGCCTCAAAGAACTTAGCGATAATTCTTTGTGATCCTTTGTAGCCAACAAACCCCAATGTAAATCTCGTGATTTTACAACGGCCACACTCGCTCTGTGAATGATAAAATTACCATCACTTAAACTATAGAAATTTAATGAAATATATAGGTAAATATAAAGGTATTCCTTCGTTTTACCTGTATTTAGTGATCATCTGCATCCAGGATGCTGGATTGACTTTCATCAAAGAGTATGGTATAAAAATAACATGCATTCCGTTCAAAACGGAACATAGGACGCTGTGCCAGAGTCCTACTTCTCGTTTGAAGTCCAAAACACAAACCATATTCTCTCCTTCAGTGTAATGACAAGACATTGTAAGAGTCCTACAATGTGTCATCATCGCTTGTCTTGTAATAGTCACTCCTAGAAAAGGTAGAGTAATTTAGAAAATAATTTTTTAATAGGTATTTCAATGAATTTTCTTCACTTACCCATAACAGAACCGTCTTTATCGGTTGAGTACTCTATATAAGCAGATGTGTCCTCCGTCACTCTCGCAGGAGGTGACCAATCTTTAGGACACTTTGGTTGATGTTCCGTTACAAACCAATGTAATTTCGGCCAACCTTTGAAAGCCACAACTTCCCCGGTAGCTGTCTTAGGAATACCTGGAAGAACAATTGAAGTATAACCCAATATATATTTTCCAAGCATTGCCCTTTATTTGATCCTCACCTTTCAAACAAGCTTCCGACGTGAGTGCAACTTGAACCCCACAGGAACCGAGTAGGAATCCGATTTGTTGTGAACCAGCATCTCTTCTCGTGAGTGGAACCTCGATGGGTACCGGCACCAGACCTGCCTGCAGGCATCCGTAGAAGGCGCAAACAAAATTTATCGGATCGCTATTTGGGTAGACTAGAGCGACCCGATCGCCCGATTTTAAGGAGAGATCATTACTTTTCGCGAACGATTTGTTCAGTAGGGTGTAAGCAATTTTTTGCGATCGACTTAACAATTTCCCTATGGAGGTAAAAAAAATCGAATCAAATATAGATGTAAATATACAACTCAAAAGTTCCAAGCAACAAATTGATTTATTCTAACATGGAAGTTAGAATGGAAACAATTTGGAAGCAAAAAAATTGAACCAAACACAAGTGGACCAATTACATCTAAAGACATTTATTAATTGACTTCATAATAATAATAAAATAGATATTAACAAGGAATGTTGTGATCCACTATCACCATATTTCCTTTTCGATGACGAGAACCTCTTGAAAGTTATCATGGAACTCTGGGGGTATGAACCATTTTGGGAATAATTGATTTTTAATAATAGGCTAACTGAATTTCTATGTAAAATTGCTACTATTTTAAAATATTAAGTTCGAAATCCGTAACACTAAACAAAATTAATATACAGTCTATCATTTAAATAATAAATAGCAAAATTTGTCCACAATACTAATACAATGATAAATGGTAAGTTATAATAATAGTGCAATTTTTAAATTATTTACCATATGTTAAAGTTGTTGTAAGTTTTCCATTAGGATCTAAAACCGTGGCAACAGGAGCTTTATAAGATCCTGATCCATATCGTTGAATAGCTGCCTCCAAATTTCGAGGTAACCCTGATGGTACCTGTAAAAAAATAAAACCAAATCAATAGTTAAAAAAATAAACTTAATACTTACACTACATAAATGGATCTATTACCCTGTAAACAAATTATAAACATTTTTTAGAATGTGGATATTAATTCAGTAACAGTTCTTAAGTGTAGCCAGAGAATAATTGTTTCATAAAATAACTTCTAATCTTGATTAATTATTAAAATATTAAATAATTATATAAATATGAATTAATATTAATTGATGTTAAATTTTATATTTGTAATTAACTTACCACAAGTTGCTCGCCGACTGCTGAAGTCATTGCACCACCTTCTGGCCTAGGGGCATTAGGGTCTTTAGGGTTTGCTGCAATTTCTAATTCGATATCATCATCTTCATAAAATTCTGGTAGTGGTCTGCGTTTTGGACGTTTTAATGTATTCAGTAGCTGCTGTATTTTTGCCGAAACTTTCCATCTTAAATAGAAAATATAATTATAAAAAATATAGAAATTGGAAATAAATATTATGATGAGTACTAAAATGAGTGCCGGTTAACCAGCACGGTGCCCAGCAGATTTTTCGACCAGTATTTGAATTTTCAAATTTGGTTCCGGATTTTTGGCTAAAACTTGGACCAAATTTTCTGCACGTTTATTATAAAGAAACGGCTCAATGGACAGTAGTGAAAATAGCTCCTGCTGCAGTTGTTTTTGAAAAAAACGTCGATATAATGTCAAATTTTCCTCAGCTACACACGAGAAAAGGTGAAACTATCAAGTAGGAGGTTTTTAACAAATTTCTCCTTTAGGAAGTTAATAATAATAATTAAACTAGTGGAGCGCATGGCATCGTGCCTTAAGGCAAATTGCTGGAACTTCCCGTACCTTCCCTTTTTAAAAACGATTAACGTTTTTCTTTATTTTGACATATTTTGGAAATTTTGAACTTTTTTTCAAAGCAATCGTACTGCTTTGACTGCATAGAGACGAAACGTCAAAGCGCGTAAGCGACGCGTCGCCGTCTAACGGATAAACATTGGTACGGAACCCATAGGAATGTAGACAAAATTTATACTTATTGTTAAAATCTCTATAAAATATCTGGTAATTTTATGTGCATATGCCTAATGATCATTTTTGACCGTCAAATGGCATTTTTTTACTTTTTTTGTTCTTGTTAATACAAGTAAAATGTTTTTTGAATTATTAAAATCGGACGCTCTGTTCTCTTAAAAACTGAGTTACCATTTTAGGCACTTTTTGTCCCGTATCTTCGGAACGGCTAGATCTGCCTTTGCCAAAAACTAATCAGCACGTCTCCTTATCAATACGAATCGAATGTTTTTTGAATTATCCAAATCGGTTGATCGGTGTTCCCAAAATCGTCAAACATACACACACGCACACACACATACACACATCCATTTTTTCTAAGGTATGCCAATATATTCAGAAACCTTTGAAACGTAAAGATATATAAACATTTTCATTTTCGATTTTTTTGCGATTACTATAACTTGCCTTACGGGAAGTTAATAAATATTAAAAATAAAATATAATAAATATATGAAATCCACTAGCTTCACTTCATCACTATTCAACGAACAATAAACGAATGAAATGATTATTTCATAAATACATTTCTTATTATTATTCCTACGCCATTATTATAATTATCAAAGTTTCTTCCTCGATATGACTCATTTTGCGCAACTATGAATCAATAATAAAGTTAATTAAAATATTCGTATAAATTAAACAAATTACGTAATATTGCAAAACAAAAGTTCATTTTTTCGTTTGGTGATAAATGTTATCTATAAGTAATAATATTTTACTCACGCTTCAGCAAAATGAGCATTTCATCAAATAATTTTTTATCCATGTTGACATACTGAATCACTTTATTTAAAACAACAAAATTGCAACATTTATATTGTTAATAATTTTTAATACAACCAAGTCATATTAAATATTGATATCATATAGTACACGCATTTTATGTATAATTTAACATACATTTTTTAAATTCTTAAGCACAAATATTGTAATAAACCGTATGAAGACTTCTTGCAAACTGACAAAAAAGTTGTTTTGGGAATTGCACACAATAACATAAGAAGCAAGTTGAAACCTGTTCAAACAGATAGTATAGAAATACATGCATAAAATATACTACAAATATATTATATAAGAGTATAACACTAATATAAAATCTTCACATTAACTTGATTTTTACATTTAACTTCTACAACAAGACTGAATTTGATCAATTTACTCATAAATATAATAAGAATTGCAATTTTTTCATTTAGTCAATCATGAAGCGATATACATATTTTCCTATCATAAATTGTTTGCCATTATCTTATCAGTTTCATGTAGAGTTTAATATTAAACTAGGTGTAAGTGGCATTTTGCTTTAAGAAAAGTTGCGAAAAATGAGATTTATAGATACAAAGTTCAACTGTTCATTTCGAAAATAAAATTTAATCAATAAAAAATGAGTTATATACTTAATCATAAAGATTGAGTTTAATTAGTAAAAAACTAGGAACTTGCTGGAACTTCTCGTACCGTAATGGAATATTCGAGAAATTTTAAATGACTCAGCTTAAATTAAAAATGAATTCCGAATAATTTAAGTTATTTTTTTAAATATCTGAAAATATTTTTTTTTGAAAATTCGAAATTAATTTTTGCTTTTTTAAAAATATAAATGTTTAAAAATAAAATAAAATAAAATAATCGAACGAAGATCACTCACTATTATTTTTATAATGAAACCGCTTTTCGTAGTATAATATTTTAGAACGCTCGTTTAGATAACAAACTTTCTCTATACAAATCACGAAAAAACTGTTCCAACGATTTTTCACTAAAAAGAGATCAACACGACTTTGAAGAGTTTTAGAATTTTCAGAATTGATTCAGGGTTTTTCACAAACCGTTGACGAAAAATTAGCACTATCAGCTAATTCCTAAAGAACAGAATGTCATACAAACCTGAATTTTTATTAAATGAGTTTCAATTTTTAAAATCCATGCAGTCGTTTTAAGAAAATGTTGACGAAAGGTCAAATTTTTGCCCTCATACTTTTTTAATATTGTTGTCAAACGATTCAGATGATTTCTGAATTGAGAAATAATAAAATTAATAAGTTGAAAAAGTTAAATAAACTACAAACCTGTATTTAAATCAATGTACGCAACAATTGCAACTTTTCATTTAGTCATTCATAAAATGATTGTGTTTCGTATTAAGAATTGTTTGCCATTAATCTAATCAGGTTGGATTTATATTGTGATTGAAATTACAATTACAATATGAATGTATCGTATCAAATTGTTCAGAAAGATAATCGATTTAATTCGCATTGTTTTCTACGTGAATCATTTAAACAAATAGTATTAGTAATAATGAGTTCACAAACTTTTGTTATATAATTGGTTTGCCTATTTGAGTCAATGCTAATATTCAGCAGTAAACTATTTATTTACAAAATAATGATATCGAATGAAATATATTAAAAGAATTTCTTGAAACCTTTTAGAGTTTAAAGATTTTTTATCTTGATTTTCGAACAGTTTTTAGCAAAGTTTTCAAAGTCCTATGTAAAAACATTCAAAAGTTACAAACGTTTAATGTCGCCGAGGTAAAAAAATCGTCGAAAATAAAAGTCTTCACTAGGATAAGTTAAAAAATAAAAATCGGAAGTCTAGAAAAATATTAGAAAAATGAATACAAAGCCACAGATTGAAATATTTGGAAATAAATAATTTATATATATATATATATATATATATATATATATATATATATATAAATGAATTTTAATGAACAGTACCTTCCAGTGCCAGTGCCCATGTCATCAGTGCCTCCTGTGTTCTGGTACCGATTCACTCTGTCGGCACCAGCTCGCCTGGTCTGTGTCGTGTGCGTTACATCAGGAGGTTGCGTATCTGAATTAATAGTTAAAAATGTTTTAGTAAACAGATATTATCAAAATGAATTGTGTTTATAATTTTACTTACAAGGTCTATTTGTTTGTATAACATCAGTAATTTCAGTAATTTCGCGAGGAGGCGTTGCAGCTGGTGGACGTGGCTTATGATGTTGATGTTGGTGTTGCACAGGAATTGGTATTGGCCTTCGTTCTCTGAAAATGAAAAATACACTTTCTAATTTTATTATAATAATAATTTTGATAAACTGTTACTGAAGTTTACTACCAAAACCATTAAGCCATAAATAATATAATTGATTTTTTCAAATTATAAAACTTTTGTTATCCAAACCTATTATTGTGATGATGGTGCGAATGCAGTGGCGGCGGCGGACTGCCCGCACTGGACGTGTCACTATGAGAGGGAGGCGGAGGCAGTGCAGGCGGTCGCCCTCTTTCTGGCGAAGACAATGTATCACCATCGTTGTCTTCTGTTCCGCACTCGTTATCGTTCGCTAGACTATCATCGTCTGATGAAGATTCTAAAACAGTATCAGATAATAAACGATGATGAGTTCATCATTGACTTCGTCCAACAAATAATAATCGACAACTGACCATTAAACAATTATTATCGCGCATAATACGAATATAAAAATAATACCAACATTTGAGAGCAAATTTCTGAAAATTGCAAAATATGTGATAACAAAAACAAACTGCGCAAATATAGAAACAAGCTCAACAGTCATCCAAGTTTACTAGCAAGGCCTTCACTAACAGAAAACTATTGTTGTACACTAGTAAAACGCCACTTGATTTAAGTCATTAATTTTCCTGATAAATATTGAAATAACTTAGTTATTATTTCTAAGAAAATAGATAAGTTTATATTATTATCATTAAAATATTGTTAATATTAGTTAAGGAATAGAATAACATGTTGTTTTCCCAACATGTTACTATAATATACAAATTTACTAAATGTCCTTACTAACTGGACAGTTGTACATATAGTAGTGAATAAAAAAAGAGGTAAAATTTTGTCTTGAATAAAAATGTCACTTACAACTATTTTTTAATATTGACATAGCCTCAAAATATTCCAAATATCTTGAATTTTAAACATATTTTGTATTGTTTTAAAAAATTGCAATCTAAATAGCCAATGGTCAAGAAAAAAACCCGGCAGATCTTTACTAAAAACTAATCAGCAGCACGATTTACATCTTATATCTTTCAAATGATTTTTCAAATATTCGAATTTATTTAAAGATTATATGCAATATGTGAACAAATATTGATTTAACAGTTCTTAGCAAAACTACACGTCTGATCATAATTACAAAAAGCTCATCAACGTGATTATTATTAAGTTTTATATAAAATTCTGGAAAAGGCGACGAGATACCTATGTCTTTACAGGCACATATTTTTTTCAATATTTTAATACAAAAAATATAATCAAGAAATTTTTTTTATCTTTCTGATGGCTTTCAAATTTTTCAAAATGGACAAGATGTGAACAAATTTTCATTTAACTGTGAATTGCAAGGAAACACCTCTGAGTATAATGACTGAAAGCTCACCAACATGATATGAGTATATTATCAAGTTTTATTATGACTCCGTACTTTACATAATTTTTTCAATATTTATGTCAAACAATTCAGATTAACCAAAATCGAAAAAATATAAATTATTGATAAGCATATCGCCTATTATCAATTCGTGGATTTTTATATAAAGTATAGATACCAGACATACCACTATCATGCCTATCCCTGTCAGGACTTCTCTGCATAACAGATGTCCTCTTAGAAGGCATCGGGAGAGAAGGCTTCGGCCTGCCTTGCATTGCTGCTAATGCCTGCTGGACTGCTTCTTGTCGAACCTCTGAAAAAATAAAATAAACATGAGATTATAACATTTCATAGATAATAGAACTCATTAAATTTATTGTATACAGATTAAAAGATTAAAAATTAAATTCAGCAATTGCCTTGACATGCAGAACACAAATAGAGTACAATGTGATGAATTACTTATGACTTCAGCATAAACGTAATTTTTGAAAACAACAACTATTCTAAGAAAGTTTTATAAATAACTTGCATTAAAATTATGATGTGCTAGCTAATGCAAGCAAATTATGAGGTAATTTTCAACAAACAATAGATCTATTTATATCCAATCATGCACAAATTTAAAATAAAAGAATTAAAGACAATGCTAGCCAAGTTCTCATCATCAATCACGTAATTAAAACCAATATCGTGCAAATAATTAAAAAGATTACCGACAAACTTTTGACAATACTTACCGCACCAGCGAATAAAACTTAGCAAAAAAATTAAAAGTCTTAACTCATTAAGCATATCTGAACGCTTTCTTGCCTGGAACTTCTTTCGGTTTAATTATATATTTCGCTAAAAGTTTTTAATTAAAAGAATATATATATATATATATATATATATATATATACATATATAAAGTACAGTAAAAAATTTGCTTAGAAGTTAAAAGGTTGGAAAAGTGTAATCAATCATTCACTGGGAATAAACTGCGGAAAATTATCAAGATATATTACACAAATTAAAAAGTGTCCAGATAACTTGAATAAATCTCAAGTCTTGGGGTTTGTGAAATATTAAATCTATAATTGATTAAAAAAGACAAAAAGTATTAAGAAATTGCAAAACTTAGTAAATTGATAAAAATCTGCCAACCATGTTATTCATGTTGTCAAAGATAAATATTGAAAATATCTATACAAATTATTTTTTCTAAATAATTATGTCCGTCAAGTTAACTGTTCTTTAATAAGTTAGGATTAATTTACTTTAAACTGTCATAGTTCGAATAATTATAATACTCACAAAGCAAAAAAATAAATAAATTTTAAATTAATATATAAGGATTTCCGAGTATTAAAATTATTTCCTTAACACGTTTAAATTTTTTTTCCTAATCATTTCTTTCACTCGACATAGAACATTAACTACTTTATATTTCGTTAAAAAATGCACAAAATAAATATTGTTTGTTTATAAAATTTAAAGAATTACACAATTGGTATTATTAAAAATATTGGTTTCCCTTACGATTAGTTTAATTCCAAGGAGTTCCTTAAAATTTATATTTCTTCTATTAAGATTAATTACTTTCACTAGAAAAGAAGTGGAAAAAATAGGCTTTCTATTGATGTTTTTGAACATCATCACAGTAATCAATAAATTATGTATCATAATAAAAATGAGACAAAATCATTTATTTATTAATTTAATTCCCAAGACTATCCTACAATAAAAATTTCTTTGCTTAATATGTTCAATCTTTAACTATATTAATTAATTAGTCAATTTGTAAACATGTTCTAAAAATGATTTTTATTTAAAAAATGGTACTGAATCAACTGAAGTTAATTGAATTGATTATCACCACAAATTAAGATTGATTAATCATTTAGCTAAAAGTTTCTTCATACTTATTGTTAGATATGGAATAAAATAAAGCTTATTCAAAATATATATCGATAGAGATACTATGAAAAATATTATAAGCTAGGTAAAAATTCTTAATGTTAAGCTTGCTGAAATTTGTGTGCTAATTCTTTTATATAAAAGTATATCATAATTGGAAATGTTTTATAAACAATGTTATTAGTTTATGGAACTAATGAGTAAACATCTAGTAGCATTAAATATACTGATGTACCTAATTTAATTTCAAAAGCTTTCCTTATATTAAATATAGCTCCTCACACATGCGAACTCAGTGATTTCCTTAATAATTCTTTCCACTCGGCAAGGAGTGTCGGCAGTTTTCATTTTCGTTAAAGAAAATAGCAACTTACACCGAATGCACTGATTTTATTAAAACATCTACATACGCAGATGCAGACATAAAGTGGAAAATTTAAGAGACGGCGAGTCGACACCACTCGAGCTTTTTCCAATTATGCTGAAAGCTCGGCTTTTCCCAGAATTCGCATTCGGAAAAACTCCTAAGAGAGACCCAACGAAATGTTTGTCGCGTTTATTGTTAGGTCGACGTTTCCAACGATTTTAATAATTGATTAAAAGCAGAAAATAGAAATAGAAAAATTCATACTGTTTTTTTTATTTCAAGGTCATTTGAACATTTCTATGTAAGTTTTCGACGACAAAACTTCCTAGAGTCGGCCATATATGACTGGCAATTAAAGTGTTAAAATAATTTCATTACCCAAATTTTGACAAAAAATCAAAAACATAATTATGATATAGATTTTTACTTTTAAGTTAATAGTTAACTTTATCGCTTTTATATTTAGTTTTCAAATAATTTATTTAAATTAATATGTAATAATATCAAATAATGAATTATATCAGTTGTAAATCAGTTGAATATAATTACATATAACAATTTATATAAATATAAACATCTATTACGGTGCATCAAAATATAGTATAAGAATTACTTCCATATTTCCAACCCGAAACTCCTAATTCAATTCCCACCTTAGTATTTCTATTTATTGATCAATGAGTTATTCATTAATATCGTATTAATATAATAATATATTAAGACTAAATAAACATCACATTTTCATTTTAAGAAATAAAATATATAGATAATAAATTTACCCGACGTATCGATTTGTAATCTTGTTTTGGCAATTTGCCATCCAGACACAAAATGCATAAAATATTCGATGATTAATAAAATTACCAATATTTTACAAAGCAGCTTTGAACTACACAGTCTTAAAAGCTCATATGATATATAAACTAATTTTTCATTCGAAACACGATTGGAGCAGAATTTCTTATTTTATATTTTACATGAAAACTTTGTGTCTAGCACAAACTTTGTAGACAAAAAAAATTCTGATGTCTGTGAATATTCATAAAAATAAGAATCCAAAATCTTACGTCATCTTCATATATAATTTCATGTAAGTTCGAGTCACTGAAGTGTTTTATAATGACCTCATCGACTCGAAAAAGTGACCTTTGGTAAAAGATATATGAATCAAATATTTTTGAATAGAATTTTGCCTATATTTTACAAAATCAAGCATCAAAACATTGTATAAAGTCTTATAATTACATAAAATATCAATCCAAAAGTTATAAATGAACTTTTCATTTAAGTCTTATGAATTAGAAAAATCTTTATGAGTAAGAGTTTTTATATAGTCAATCACAAAATCTGTTTTGTGAAATTTTCAGTGTATACCTATGTATGTATATCGAAAAAAAATTACATAAGGTCATATGAACAGATTTATTATATATATATATACTGGTTGATAAAATTCTATATAATAAAATTAGTTGATATCAGAACGTTTTTCATATTGCACAAAATATTTTTTATATAATGGATAATAATTTATTATATTATAATTCGGTCATATATTCATATTAAATAGAATTCTAATAATATATTGATTTAAATAATAAAATTCCACAAAAATATGTAAGATTTATGAAAAGGAAAATGTTATATCAATCATATTAATAACTAGCACAAAACTACATAATATAAACTAAGAAAATATAATAAGTATGTCATTGCGTCTTGCAAAAATATTCTCATTTACTGAATTATAATTTTGGCTTACAACAAGAACCTTAGGTTTTCTCGCCTAAGATTTTAATCAAACTTTACATGATTATAAAGTTGTTAGTTAAAATAAACCCCATAAAATATTTCTGGCCTATGAAGTGGTTTAAATATAAAAATTAATTGAAATTTCGCGAAGATTCGTCAAAATTTCAGATGAGTATACCTGAGGTTCTGTTTGTAAGACTAAAACCTAGTTCAGTATATATGCCTCGATTATCACATTTTTTTTTAGATTGTGTTATGTGGGGGTCTCCCACCACCCGTGGGTTTTCAGCTCAAGTTAAAAATATTATATAATAAATAATATAATATAAGATATGCAATACAAAACTTAATAAAATATATAAATACAATAATTCCAAGATTTACAACTTTTTCCAACTAGACCACACCGTCGTTGGAGCAATATTTCACAATCTTTTTATAGCCGCCGGCATAAACTATGCCAGCCCGGGCGCTACTTATCTTTTAACACCTCATTTGAAACTCTAAACTAGAAGAATAGAGTGCATTTTTCTTTCATTCAACAAACAGCATTCAAAAGGCTTTACTTTTTGTTATGTCGGAACGCAAACAAAAACACAATGAAATTCTCGTAAATAAATAGTACCAACGGCTGACCATAAATTTTGCTGAGCGAAAACACACGGAAAAAAGGACTTACATGTAATATAATTAATAATTTTGGGTATATGTTAAGTATAAAGAGATGTAGAAGACTGAACTTTTTTATATCGGTGAAACTAATAGTTTTGCAATTGTATAACAAATTGACAACACAACCATGAACGAAACAAATACGTGGTTTATATAGAGCATGTCAAATCTTGAAAAATGACGAAATACTATCGTTTTTTATTTCTTGTAGAATATTGAACATGAGTTAAACACTGCTTTAATATATATATATATATATATATATATATATATATATATATATATATATATATATATATATATATATGATTGGTTTCTTGGGGGGCCTAACATCAAGTAAAAAATAAGTAAAGTAAAGATTTTTTTACAACATCTTTATTTTTCCATACGTTTCGACGTAAAATTCTACGTCATCATCAGTAGTTTTGAATTTCTTCGATTATCACTAACACATATTAATATAACTTGTAAAAATTAATAATTAGAGACAAGCACTAAATATCAGTAATTTCTTTTTTATAAAAAGAATAAAAGATTAAAAGTAATTAATAAATAAAATATTATACATAAATACACGTGTATCCGAGGCCAGTGCCGTACAGAATAATCTTAGATTCAAAACC